GTGCCAGTAAGGACTACAGAATGAGACCCTGCTTATAAAAAACAAAAGCAAATCCAAACACCAACGATGATAACAACAATAACCGAAACCTCTTTGTATAAATGATTTCCATTTCCTCGGACATACTAACCGAAAGATGTTGTGCAATATTCCTTTACACTTTGTGAAACCATGTTACTGTAATTGGTTTAATAAAAAATCTAAACAGTCAATAACTAGGCAGGATTTTCAAGGCAGAGAGAATGCTGGGAAGAAAGAGGAGGAGTCACCAGCCAGATGCCGAGTGAGTAGGACACATAAAACAGGGCAGAGGTAAAAGCCATGTGGCAGCACATAAATTAATAGAAATGGGCTAATTTAAGTTACAGGAGCTAGTTAGAAACATGTCAAAGCTATCTGCAGAGCTTGCATAATTAGTAAGAAGTCTCTGTGTCATTATTTGTGGGCTGACAGTACTAATGCACAAAGGCAAAGAATTCTATGAAGTCTACTCAAATTCAAAACAAGAAAGGACCAGGAATCTAGGTTATAGCATGAGCACAGGCTTTGGTTCCATTTCCTGTTATCTTTCAGTGACTGTAGTCCTGAATCGTGGACAGCTGGTGACACCTTCTGGGCTCTACTCTTTCACCTATCACACGTGACTATCAACAGAATCTTACCAGAACTGCTGTGAACTTCTAATAAGGTGTTGGAGATCAGTGTCCTTACCTTTCGCTAAGATACAGTAAATGCTCAGTAGTAGCAGGCTGCTGTTACCACCATTACTTACCTCCCTCCTCAGCTATTACATGTTTCCAACTACCTGGAGAGTCCACCATCACCTCAAATTCCATACATCTCTGATCAAAATTGCCCAGTCACTCCCTGACTCACAGCTACCTTTGATGGACTTTGAGTAGACCATAAGTCTCAGTCTCTGTCTCTGTCACCCTCTCTCTCTTTCATGCACACACACACACACACACACACACACACACACACATATTCACACTCATTCACACACATAGTCTGCCCTCTCCTCCCATAGCCATGCCTAATTAGTTTTCAAAGCAGATTATTTTGCTCCCTAATGCATTCCTCATTTGGATCAGAACCCAGGCCTCAGGAACCTGCTTTCCCTATCCCAGAAAGCCCTGTGTCAAATCTTATGCCATTACCCCGTCCAACTTCTCTTAGTGTCCCATGACATCTCTGAGATAGATATTATACCCCTCAGTTGGGCATCAGTCCCATGTAGTATGGCCTCAATCTCTTCCAGACACTTCTCACTTGTCCCATGTGTCCCTTCCCTACCCTTGTCAAGCTGGATGACTAAGTTCCCTGACTGGGTTGCCAGAGAGTGGAATTAAAAATAAAGGACAATCAATTACATGTGATTCCAGGTGAAAGGGTAATAGTTATATAAATACGATCAATGCAATTGCTCCCATGCAATAGGACAGGGATATCAGAATGTATATGTATATGTGTGTGTGTATCAGAAATTCACACTTCGGTGAGCATCCTTCATCTGATAACCCTGTTCCTTGAGCATGCTATGCTATGGACATCTCCATCTCTGTCCATGCTCACAGCTCCTTTCCTACAGTGGGTGTTCTCACTTTGTCTGTGCTCTCATCTTTGCTCTCCAGTAACCATCAAGCTCTTCATTAAGCCTCCCTGACTGAGGTCTTATTTATCTAGGGTTCATTATCTGTATCATTAGTTTTGTTCTCTATATAAGATTCAATTCTATAATTTAATTCTGTTTTAAATTCCTATTTAATTCCCTTTCTCTAACTTAATGTTGAGTGTGACAAGATCTGACACAATTTTAACAACCAGGAGAACTTGGTATGCTTGTTGGGGGAAGGAGGTGCTGCTTGCTAGCCTGGATTGTAAGGGATTTGAGGGAGAAGAATGGGACTCTGCCAAAACTCTTAATCCAAAAGTTAGGGCTCCTGTAGAAACACAGAAACCAACACACAGCATACCCTGTCCTCTGTCAGCTTTAGGCCAGATGGGAGATGAGTGTGGCTTCCTGATCTTTGCCTGATTCACCCCATGCCCTCTCTTACATGTCCCACAGGTTGAAGGTTATTTTTGCTGACATCTAAATCACTGCTGCTTCACATGATCTTTTGACTCTGATTTCATTCCTATGGAAAAAAAGGACCAGGGTAGCTATTCCATGTCACCTGTAAACATAGTGATTGTAAGAGTTATCCTAGAGATGACACACCTCTATTTAGTTCATAGAAAAGTAAAAAAAAAAAAAAAAAAAAAAAAAAAAAACACTGATCAATATTTTTCTAAATTACCTAACTTAAAATACTGTCAGGAGCCTGAGCATGCCACAAGTAATCTAGGAAGCTATTAAGTAATTCCCAAGAGACTGACTCGGACCCCCCTGAATATGGGTCTCAGCCAGAAGGTCTGAGCAGTCTGAGACCTCAGACAGTGGAGCCAGGATGTATCCCTGGTGCACAAAAGGACTTTGCAAACATATCCCCCATGGAGGGATAACTGCCTTATTCTAGAGATAGGAGAGAAGCCCTAGTCCCTACTTCACAGGACCTGTCAGATCTACATGACCCCAACTGGATGGCATTCCCCTACATATGGTATTGTGGTGGGGGGTTGGGAGGGGAGGGTGTTTAGAGTGCATGGGAGAGGGTAGAGAGGGCAAAAGGGAGGAAAGGAGGGAGGGAGGACTGGAGGGGAGGGAGGGAGGGAGGAAGAGGGAACTTGGATCGACATGTAAAATAATAAATTAAAAAAAAAAAAAAAACGCTTTGACTCCAAAATTTAAGTTGAAGAACAAGTTACTGGGGAAAAGTATTTCTATTTTTGTTTCCACAGAAAATGAAAAGATGTGGATTCCTTCCAGACTAATGTGGTTTGATCACACCAGACCGCCTGAAACAGAGTACAAGCTGATCCTACATTCCAAACAGCTGGACAAAACAGCCCTACAGACTACAGCTAGGATATCTGAATCTTCTTTGAATCCCCCAAGACAGCGCCCCTTACCAGCAGGAAGTAGTTTGGACAGAACGATGCCCAAATTCCCAAATATTGTGTATAAATGTTTGTTTTCATTTAATTGGACTTTGTTATATAAAATTAAATAAAAAAAATAAAAAAAATAAAAAAAAGTAATTCCCAAGAAATGCAAGTGAAATAGCTAGTTTCTTATGAATATATTTACTATACTGGGCACCCAGAAACCAATAACAAAAGATAAGACACTTTGGATACACAAATACACACACACACACACACACACACACACACACACACATATATTCCTATATGTATTCTTAAAATAAAGCCCAGAGCTTATCATCTTTATCTACTGTTTAAAACTTGATTCATATTAAAACATAATTCTCATAATGTCTCTGTAAATGTGTCTTTTTCTTTTTCATGTGTGCATGTGCTGTACATGTGTGTATATGTGTTCTCACATGCATAGGTGTCAGGATGACCTGGAAGTCCTCCTCTAATGTACTCTTTGAGGCAGGGACTATCTAATGAATCCAGAGCTTGCCAACTTGGCTAGGTAGGCCACCACCAAGCAGTCATGTGAGTGCTGGAAGACCTCAGTCTTTCTGCTTGCTGCCTGTGTGGCAAGCACTTAAATTAAACCATCTTCTCAGCTGGCAAAAGTTGTTTAGCCATTTAAGGAGGGATGAGTTCAGCATTAGCAGAATCAGGGTCATTGAGAGCAAGATCCCCATCCCTAGAGTCATATGTGTGACAGTTTAGTAGAACTAGATGGATTCAGGATTGACTTTGGAACATTGCAATACTCTGAAAAATCAATAAGGAGAGTGCTTTGTTTAGATCTCTCATATTTAGCTAGTCACTTGTTTCCCTTTGTCTTTTCAAAACTTAAGTGCAACCAAGAAATCACACTTTTTCTACTAAAAATAAAAAAGTCTATGTGAACCATTTCCATGGAACTACTTGCAAATTTCTAGTCAGAAACAAAACAAACTACTTACATTCATTTCATTCAACATGGAAAAGGGCCAAAGAGAGCCACCCTGACCTAGAAGGAGGCCTTAGGCTCCTCACCAGGTCCGGCAGGCTCACACTTATGTTTTCAGCTTTGCTATCTTCTTTCTGCAGATTCTAAACACAGCAGCCTCAACCAGGAAGGGGCAGGAGGAACAGTGACTGGCTTCCTTCTCAGCAACTGGTGGAGCCTGCTCCTTTGTCGGTCATTATGCCGACATCAATCAGGCTTCTAATCTGCCACACAAAGGTGGACCATATCTGCTGCGGATGCACATGGGCTCATCATTTAAACAAACATGCTCACTTAATGGCAAGGAATGTCATTTAAAATGTCCTCCAGTGACCTCCCAAGGTTTTGTGAGCAACATCAGCTGTTCTTGGGTTTAATTTCCCTCCTACCTTTCCATTCATTTCTAAGTGCAAGGACAGTTTTCAAAACACTCAAAATATATGCAGCAGAAATGTTTTTTTAATTAAATGTAAATAATTACTATGAATGGTTCCTATCACTGGAAAAATTCAGTGCTGGGTTGTTTTTACCTTCTAGAAGATTCATCTTTGTTTAAGAACGATTGATCAAGAAAAGAAACTTTGTACCAGAATAATTTTCATCCTTACAATTTTACACAAAACTTAAATTTCAGTAAAATAACAAGCAATTATTTAAAGACACACTTATATATATTCTAGGCCAGTATTGATCAAAGAAATGGCAGATGGATTATTGATCAGCACATCAAAAAGCACAAATAGTATTAGGCAGATGTTTTTTTCAAAAATGATCATCAATGAGGTTATAGATGATGCTGAGAAGTTACCACAAGGACACAACTACCCGCTGGCTGCTCTTCAGAGACACAAGCACTAAATAGCTCACTGAACAGTTACAAGGGGACAGGCCCACAGATCACAAATCCTACCTGTGGCCAATATGCAAAGCCAATGAAATGTGTTAAGACACACCAAAAAGCAAACTTAAAAATGGGACATACCTTAATTTTCAGACACGTCGTCAACAGATGTCCACCACACTAGCGACTTGTCTGTCCACCACTTTCTTTCACCAGGTTTTAAGTTTGTTTTCAATGTCCGAACACCTAGAGATTGTTATCCTCAAAAGCTCTCATTGCCTCCATTTCTCAAGGACAGTTCAAAAGTGAAGAGTTAAAAAAAAAAGGGAAAGAATGAAATTTGCAAGCCAATTATGCCTAACCACCACCACTGCAAGCGGCTAAGCTTTGAGCTCAATGAAGAAAATGTTATTTGGCTAAATGACAAGCGCACTTCCTCCTATTCTTTCCTGACTTAGTTTTCCGGCCTGCAGTGGAGCATTGTTTTTTTTTTTTTTTTTTTTTCCCCTTTCCTGAGCTATAAATAAGCTGATTGCACGAGTACTGAGGAGAGAAGAAGCAGGAAACGTATTTGATTTCAAAAGGCAGTCAGGGGTGTGTGTGTGTGTGTGTGTGTGTGTGTGTGTGTGTGTGTGTGTTGCTTCTTTCAAGTCAACACCAGTTAACACGCTAAAGAAAATTCAACTTTAGTGCAAGCAGAAGAGCTGCAATCTACTGTCGCTCTGTCTCCAGTTGACTGGAGGTTGTTCCTTCCCATTAGCAGAGCTTGAATTTGGAAATGTAAGGTTTTCTGCATGATTCACCATGAGTCTTTTTTTTTTTCCAGACAGTTGAGACTTGCTACCTCAAGTCCATGATCCCCCTGCCTCAGCCTCTCAAACACTGAGATTACAAGCATTCACCACGTCAGACTCATTGCTTCCTTTCATTTATAAAAGATGTTGAGGCTAGAAAGATGGTTAGAAAGATAGCTCAGCAAGCTGAGAGCACTTGCTAGCTATCATGAGGACCAGAGCTTGGTTCCTGGCATCCATGTCATAAAGTGAGCACCCTACACATGTTTGTAACTCCAGCTCTGAGAGGTCCAACACCCTCTTCTGGCCTCGGTGCACAAAACCCCCTCCCATATATGTGTGAGCACACACACATACACACACACACACACAAATTAATAAAATCTTTAAAAGATAAAGTAGAGAATTTCCTAACTCACGGTATCAAAAAAGTGAATATAACATCTGAATATAATGTGAACAAGAAAGCACTTTCACAAAATTCGGTTTGAAACCATACCATCTGTTCATTTTAACTGACAATAGCTTTTCCCCATTCTTGCAGTTCAGAGTTGTCCAGCTTCCCTCATGATTGTTGACAGAAGAAGCAAGTGCAAACAATTAGAGTTTATTTGTTCAAGTATGGGAAGGGCAGCTAAAAGTTTAGGTAGGTGTCCTCGGTTCCTTGTTGACTGCCCTGCGGGTTGGGGCAAGATCTGACATGTAGAGAAATAACCATTTGTTTAACAGTAAGTAGAAATATAAACTGGTTTGGGTTTCTTTTTTTAAGATTTATTTTACTTTAGTTATATGTGTGTGCGTCTTTAGTTATGTGTGTGTGTGTGTGTGTGTGTGTGTGTGTGTGTGTGTGTGTGTGTCCAGTATGTGTGCACACATGGATGATGTTGCCATTGAGATTTAGAGGTGTCAGATCCAATGTAAATGGAGTTACAAGCTGTTGTGAGTTGCCTGGCCTGGGTTCTGGGAACTAAACTCAGGTCCCCTGCAAGAGCAGTATGAGCTCTTGACCACTGAGCCATCTCTCCAACCCTGATCTATATTCTTTTGTGGGCCTTCTTTCCAAAAGTTCAGTTCATGCACTCCAACGAGTTAATGAGACTTAGTTTATTCTACAGAGTGAAAGGCAAGTTAGAGATGGGAAAATAGCTTGGTTTGTAGCATATGCACACTGTAGTTTTCAATTTATTTTAACTGAATATACCATGCTTCAAATTTTCATTTTATTTGACACCGAGATGTAGCTTACTGCTAGAGTACATGCATGGCATGCCCAAAGTCCAGGTTCAATGCCCAGTTTTTAAAAAAAAAAATGCTAAAAGTAGGGGCTGGAGAGATGGCTGCTTTTCCAGAAGACTTGGTTCAGTTCCCAGCATCCACATAGCAGCTCACAACTGTCTGTAACTCCTGTTCTAGGGGATCTGACACTGTCACACCAATTCACACAAAATAAAGTTAAATTAAATGTTTTTAAAAAGTTGATTAAAAAAGCTTAAAGTAAAAATACCTTTTTTTCAGTTCATTAGAGAATTTGAAAAACTGTACTACTCAACGAGCTTCACAAGACTGTATGAAATGTCAGTTTATTGCCTGCCTATCATCTGTCTATCCCTGTCTATCCATCTGTCTCTGTACCATTCTATACTTAACAGCCTTACCACAAGCCTCTCTTTGCATAGGAATAACACAGACACAGTACAGTGCTATCTCACCTGTTGGAAGAGTCATTCAAAAAACCTGCAAGGGCACCTATATCAGAAGTTCTGCACATGCATCCCACATGACTGGTAATCAGGCGATTCTCTATGAAATAATTTTATGGCTTGTTTATTAATATTTCAACTTCTAAAAGGAGTTTTAGATTTTAAATTGTAAGAATAAAACATTGAACGTTGGTTATATTGGTCATTCTTATTCAGAAGATTGGAGCTGCTTTTGCATATACTGTGAAGACATTAACATTGAGTTACCTCAGAAAAGTTATATGTAGCATGGGGGGGGGCAATGGTAAAACTAATGAACAGCTTTCTTTGGTTGTCTTGGTTCTGTTAAGTGAATGAAACAGCATCCATCTTATCGTGGTCTCCTAAAACAATTTCAGTATTTACAATAGAGAAAAAAAGAACCAAACCCATGTCCCCAAAGGAAACTAACAAAGAGGTCTGGATGTGATCATTCTGAGGAGCAGAGCATACTGCAAGTGTCTGGGCCTTAATTGGGTGTTTTTAGTAACAGCCCACCTTTGTATGCACAGAGCAGAGCTCTGGCTCACTGTTGAACTATGTCCTCCGACTGGACTGTTGTAAAATAAAAAGTAATAAAATACATAGGGATTTCTGTGGTGACTGCTCAGTACAACACAGGCTTTTCACAGTTCTTTAACAGAAATGGCAGGAAGATGTCTAAAGGGTTAGGAGGTCTACCTTCTAACATAAAAATATAAAAAAAAAATCACTCAGTATTTGAAAGAAACAAAAACTTAGTGAAATAGAAAAAGAACTACCCATGTTAATTTAATTAAAATAAATTTATGTACATTAGCAGTTTGCTTTCACCAGCCAAGTTCTGAGTTGATATAACATTAAAGCTACCTTGCAAGATTATAAAAATCTCAGCCCAATACTAGAATTCATAATGTTTCCCAGGAGAGGCCCAGCCTTGGGAATGTTCAGGGGGGATAATCTAAACCTGGCGGTTTTCAGTGCTTGGGGATTTGGTCTCTGTTTTCCTGTTACTTTGCCACACACCTAAAATGCAACAAGTTTCTGGGTGACAAGCAGAGCAACAAGAGGATGCTGAGGCTCTCTGACAGTGAGTGCCTAGAGCACGGTCATTTGTTGCAACCCAAAAATCTGATGTCATAAGTAAATGCTAACTGATGTTGCAGAAAAAAAAATAGTTTTGAAATAAGGACATTCATTTAAGTGTTTCTGTCTCTTGCATGCCTTGTATTTTTTTAAAGCATTTTTAGTTACGTGGAAGTCCCTACTAAGCACAAAGCTCTGGGCTTGAATTGTCTGAAAAACAAAAAAACAAACAAACTAACTAAAAACACTGAACATTTAGTCTTTTCGATAAATACTGCATACCTTCTAAAGACAAATCCCACAAACCAAAGTCCAAGTAGCCAGTATCAGATCATTTAGACAGCTTATAGATCATGCACATTTCTGGGACGCAGCCCCAGTGCATTTATAACTTACTAGATCCAGGGTAAGCCTTGGAATGTGAACATAATAAGCTTGGGTTGTTACTGCACACTAGAGTTTGAGAACCAATGATCTGGTGATGTTGAGGTGATCCAGGGGACAAAACATCCATTCTTGACTAGACTGAGAGAGTGGTCCAAGGGACTCGGCCATGCAAATACTGAGAATTCTGTTGCTGGCCACAGGCAACTTCAAGGCATCATTCTTGAACAGTTACGATAAAATTTTCCCCTAGAGTCAGTTCTAATTTGTATCCAATGGTGACAAATTCAGTTTGAGTTTCTTCAAAGAGGTCATAAAAGAGGGATCTTTTTCCTCCCTGGATGCCAACCCCCTCCCTTTTTTTTTTTTTTTTTTTTTTTTTTTTTCAGCGTTTAAATGATAGTAAGAGCATTTACTGCAGAATTTATTTACCTTGGCCTATGTGCATCTTAGCAGTGTTAGCATATTCATGGGTTGCACAGCAGATCCTATGCTTTCATCCTGCCTGTCTGAGACTCAATAGCCTTTGAATAAGTCTTCTGTTCTTTCTCCCAACAGCCCTTGAGAACTGCCACTCTTATTTCTGTTTCAATGACAGAGGGCTCATGCTAATAGATTGCACTGTCATAGTCAAGATAAAAGTGATACAGTGAGCTCAAACATCAAAATGAAGTTCTGATCTTAGAAATCCAATTGTCAATAGACACGAGGTTGTCAAAATAGAGGAAATTTTCAGAGCTGTGGCTGGGGATGGTGGGTGTCAGGCTGGCATGTTCCATACAACCAGATGACCTGTATTATGTCACCATCAGATAGAAGACTTCTTCCTCAATATTTGTTGAACAAATAATTATGACCAGAGTAGACAGGAGGAAAGAGATCATGGATTACAATGTAATTACTGTTAGCAACATCAGTTGCAGACTTGAGAAGTGACAGACCTGTGATAAACAAAAACAAAAACAAAAACAAAAAAAAAAAACAACAAAAGAAATCCGAAAGGTTCAGGAGGTGTTGGGATGGTTAAACCATACCTAGATGTATTTGGATCTCTTTTTTGATAAAGGTAAACATGTTTTAAATATCTTATAAGCCAAGGTAACCAATCCCAAATGCAGATTATTAGAAGGTCTGGAAGGACATGGTTAATGTTTGATGGGGTTTGAAGACTTAACAGGGCTAGACCCAAACTCTACAAGTCATAACCCAATGACAGTTTGTATCAGAATAATATAGGTGGCCCAAGAAAGGTCAAGAGCTCAGATGAAGGCATCCACAGAGCATATGGCTGACACTCTGGGAGACTATAGCTTTCTTCTGTTATGTGTACTAGAGTCTATGCAGTAAGTCAAGCGTGGCAAACCTAGAAAGAACATAGGTTTAAAAGTCAACTGAGCAGAGCTAATGGAC